TGGTAGGATTTAGGTAAGACATCGAGCTATGAGCAACTGATCGATGGATAAAAGCACAAACTTCAGCTTTGGGGATGATTGAATTGTGAAGAAAAAATTTTGTAAACTGATAATAGGAGTTATCTGTAGAAGGTTGTGTTTCAGACACAAATTGATTGAGAAGGGAACTAGATAGAATAGATTGATGTACAGAATCAATATTTTGGTCCAATCCGCGAATGCTAGTGAGTGCGATTGTTGAATAAGAGACTTTGCTTGAGTAGTGACCCTGTTGGTTGTAATATATTCATTGGGAGATGAGAGGTAACCGACTACCGGGTCATGGAGCTTTGAGTGTCCAGTCAGATTATGTCCTGATGGCTAGGCGATGGTATTCAATCTACAACAAGTGAAGTGCAGTTTCTGTGCATTGTGACCGGTGATTTCAATGGTTTTGATATTTCTTTCATGATAACTTTAGACATGACAAATCCTGTAAGTTTTCCTACCCGACTCGTCGTCCAATGTCTTTGCAAACAACGCGGAAATCGTTTCCACAGAAACATGGCTCTCTATAAGCAACGAAGACCACTATCTTATTTTTTACATTCCAAGATTTCCGGTAAATATTTTCATCAACAAATGACCCGTTTTATCTCTAGAACCATCAGGACAATTTGGACCCCCTAACAACTTGGCTAGACTGATAAACAAGGTTCCTTTTGTCGATTTCTCAGTCTTTTTCAAGACTGATCAATCTTCCAGTTGCAAGGGTTACCTTAATTTTTGCTATGACCTGCGTAGTCCAGTTCAGACTTCATACATTTGAACCACCAGAGTCTCTTCACCTCCGTGAAAACGGCTGCGTCGTGATGAGGAAGAGGCCTACGTGACTGACAGTTCATAAGGAGATGTACAACAACATTAGAACCACAAAACACCGTGAACGGCATAGGGCTGAAATGAAGTTTTCAATCACACAGGGCAAAATTAACAGAATTTGTATTGATCTAGGAGGGGTGTGTCAAATTTACCTCAGTCCAAAGTCGGATGATGATGCTGTAGAGGATAAAACCTGATGCATTTCAGTGATATTCACATCAAGAATTCCGGGGACCACCACCACCGCGACGACGACCACGATCATCGCCACCACGACGGTGAAGACGATGGCAGTGCGGATGCTGACGACTACCAGGTCAACCACTATCATCGCGTAGATCACTGTGCAATTAGCTCATTATTCTACAATGAACATGTTTATCATGTCATGAGTGTGGAGTCCCTTGGCTTCTTCACCCAACAGAACATTCGTAAGATTCGGGTCAGAACGGATATGTTAGCCGATGCAGTATGACATGTTTTCTCAATGTTATACCCTTAATTATATGCAACCACAACTTTTTTTCGAATGTCAGTTTGCGGGTTTGGTCGGGTACGGAATGATGTGACAGCACTAAATTCCTATTTTGAGTATGTACAAACACAATAATGACCAGATATTTAATACAATATGTTTATTTCTGTGCGGCAATTAAATTGCGAATTGTTGTATAACCAGTGGTTTACAGAACATTTACAATATGGAGTAAGATACGCCTCAGTCGGAAATTTTTCGAGCGGTGAGAAACAACTCCAAGCTCATTGTTTCTTGCTTCGTCTCTTCCTTCTTTAGTTTTTAAATGTTTAAACAGTCTCATACAGCTCATAATGAGAACACAACTCGGCAAACAAGCTCGTTTTCAGTGTGTCCTAATCGAGCCATTACAACACAATAAATATGACTAGTAAAGTAATCAACAGTATGCGTCATAATGTTGCCATACTGGATTCTATTTTCAAATGTGACAATTGTCGACAAGGGGCGACACGACCGCGCTTCTGATTGTCTCAATTACCCCACTTCGCAACCATCCATGGATGCGTTCGTACAGACACCTGGTTGTGTGGCCAACATAATTTTCTCCGCAGGAGCAAGTAGAAGAGTGAGAACAGAAAGAGGCAGCAGAATCGGGCACTCTATTCTCCAGCCGTAGATACACCAACGGACTAGATGTGAACCTAGTTTGGAGCTTAGCCGCATAGAATGTTTGTTGATAGCACTTGATAACCTTCTGTGCACAGTCTCTGCCAGTGTTGCCCCTAAATGTACACGGACTTCTTCTCAGCAATAGCCCTCTTGGGAGAAGTCTCTTGTCGTTGTAACACAGATTGCACGAAGCGCTCCGGGTATCCATTCTCGATGAAGATATTTCGCACATTTTGGAGTTCTTCAATCAACATATGCTTCGAGCAAATTCTTTTAACTCTATTGATCAAACAGAGTACGAGATTCTTCTTCATACTGAGTGGTACAAAGCAACGGAAATGAATGCACTGCCCATTCCAAGTCGCCTTCCTGTGTACTGACCGCCTGATGGACCCGTCATCACAGCGAGTTAGGCAAACATCTAAATATGTTAGTTAATTGTTCGCTTCATTTTCAATCGTGAATTTCAAATGTCAATGCGCAGCATTGAAATGATCTGGTTTATGTTGTCCGTCCGTTGTAGAATCAACCACGCACAAAATAGTGTCTGTGTAACGTTCGTACAGTGCTCATTGCTCGATACGTGTTTTAAGTGGACCGTTTTCTATGTTAGACATGAACACATAGGCAAACAAGGGCCCTAGCAGGGACCCCAATGACACACCATCCTTCTGGCGATAGATTTACATTGCACATTGAGTGCAGAAGAATAACAGTATTATCGAATCTTTGAATTTTCAAACAATTATCAGCAGAACGATCATGACACACTGATGGTGTGTCATGTGATACAGCAAGAGATGTAGAAAGTTTGATGGTGGGGTTGGGAATTCCGATTTGTGTTCTCCTGTGTGGTAAGTCGGTAGGTTTAACCTGTTGACCACCACCGAGTGTACTAGACTAACCACCTGTTTTCATGATAAGCGCATCCATGCAACAGGATCCAAATTACATATTCCCGGTTTAGCCTTATATGTCGATCGTGCAACGAGTACGCAGGCACCACGATATAGTTTCCAGATAGCNAATCCTGTGATCTCAAGTAGCATTATTCGGATTGGCTGAATGCAAGAAGGCCACCAAATGAGCCTAATCGTTGCCTATTGGACACTGACTAACCGACCAACAATTGTTTCTCGCATATGATATGTATTTGTATGAGTTTTCTGATTGAAATTAACTGTGTCCACAGTTCGTCTCGGTCCTACCTGATTTTGCGCTATACACCGGGGTTTCCAGACTGAATCCGAGCTCGATTCCGGTTCCCATTCCGAATAACACACCTTGATCGTGTGCTTACCGTTTGCAATGCAATCTATTCGGATCACACTGGGAACATGTTTTAAATCATCGCTTAAGATTTTTAATTATTATTATTATTATTATTACTATTGTGGTTCGGTTATCTGATCACAATGTTCATTTCCACCAGATTCGTTTCAGCCGTACCCCAACCACTGCCGTCCCTTTGGACATCATATGCGTGTATCCGTGAAATTATGTACGGACAGCCTGTTTTTTTCTCGTTCACAAGGTTTAATTGTGATCAGGTGTCTATCCATTCCACTTGTGTCCACCAGTTGAACCTCGGTACTACTCAAACCGTACCGCTACCCAGTATGGAAGTGAGTGGTGTACTTACGTTCTACGTGTCGGGTCTCAGGTTCTCTCCCCTATGATTTCTGTCCATTGCACATTGCCCTCGGCTGATTAGACACAGTATGACTGAGTAATTCGACCGCCTGCTGACTTCGAACACTTGCTTACTTCTATAGATCGGTTCAGTTCAGGGAATTTCATTTTCTTTTGTTTTCTTTTTCACTTCGTTTTATTGAACACGCGATGATACAACTTGCAGGAAGTGATTGAAGCTGTCAACCGAAGGGCTGCCAAGCAACGCACACACACACACAAATGAGGAAAGTCGGGCGGTGATGTTGATGGGATTCGAGCACTGTTCCTCCTGGGTGATAATTTGGTGACGTTACCACCGGACCAACATCAACATGGTCGTTCAGCTTCACTTGTCTTGAAAGATTATTCAATCATTTCACGGTCGATTTGAGACCGAGTTTGTTAATCATTGTTCTCTCAAAAAGACAGCTGTAATGCGTACATTCATCGATGAGGTAGTTCACAATGGTTGTGAACTTTGTTCACTGTAAAAATCAAAAGCTATTCATAGGCAGACAAACAAGTCAGCGGAAGGCATTTTCTCCCCGTAAAATTCAATACAATTGGAGGGCGCATACTGCAAATCGCGTGCAACTGGACTGAACTTGTTTGTGGATTTTTCACGTCCCGGTGGCAATTTTTTTGTCACATATCTCACAGCAGGTTTCGATCGTAAATGTAGTCAAGATCTCGTCGAAATATATTTCCCCATTTTTTGTTGCTAGGACTTCTGCAATCGATACTGATTTTGGATAAAGAATACAACATCGCAAGCTTGCATGAAGTAATTCCGGAATTATTTCGCTGCATCTCAACTAGTGCTTATTGTAGAATACAAAAGGTAGTATATATCACAGGTGTTTAAAAATCTAACATGATATCAATTCACTCTTCCGCTTACGTGGTTACCAGGGCAACGCTAGACTGATGTTGATCTCTTTTGCTGACACAGCAGGAGCTTCCGGCGCTTGATTGTTATAGTCTCTGCAAATCTTGGCTGCCGTCCATTCAAGGTTGTGTAGACAAGCCGAAAAGAATTAATGCGATCGACTTTTTGACCAGTCCACAACAGATGGTGAGCAATGGATGGCGCAGGTTATCTGTTGTGCTCAATCTCATATATACATATCTTTTACGTGATCGCCACGGGTTGTTTTTAGTTCTGATGCAGGATATGGCAAATGTTGCATTGGTTGAATAGTATTTAGTTTGTAAGGACTTATATTGCTAAAAATACAACGGAAGGTCGTCGTTGACGGTTCGACTGCTATTCTCCTGTTTCACCAGAACAAAATCTATAGATTGATCAACGAAATGTATGACAAAAAGGTAAGCCCGATTGATGCGTGCCCGTCGAGTTTTTGTGATTTCCTCAATTTCTCGGCACTTGACAATTGTTTGATTTGTGCGACAGACAACCTGTGTGTCGACGACATTTGATCGAATCCATTTGGACCCGTCAATTGCGTGTGTGTGTGTGTGTGTGTGTGTGCGCGCGCGCGCGCGAGTACGCGCTCAAATTGTTCAGATTGAATTAGTTACGTACATTTAACACAGTCAGCTGTTTCACATATTGACAGCTCGAATTCTCGATCCGGGACAGTTCCTGTATTCTGCTCC